TTCTTTAATATTTTTAAAAATATATAAAATATATTTAATATTTTATATATTTTTAAAATCATAAAAATTAAAAAGTAAAAAATGGTTATCAAAGAAAAGTTTTTTTTTTTTTTTTAAAGAATAAATGAAGCTCTGATAAAAACAAAAGCTTAATAAAACTATTTAAAGGTGAATCAAATTTTTAGATTCAATAATTCATTTATAAATTTTAATATTTGAATTTAGTTGATTGACAATTGAACTCCTACCAATGACTGAAAAAAAAATCTTTATTTTTCAATAATTTTTCATGTTAAAATAATAATAATAAAAAAAAAAGTGTTTAACGGCAGTTTTTTTTTTTTTTTTTAAATGGTTCTGGTTGTGGCTTTTCCAAAATATGTCTTTCGCTTCTAAATTCCTAGCTTTCCACTCATTCGAAAGGGGGCGTTGGACCCCAGTGGGGTTCAGCACGTTGTTTGAAATATCAGCATTGTTGGAACAATGTTTAACACAGTACACACCACAAACAAGGACATGGTGGGCAACTTCTCTGCTTGTCTGCTTGGGTGGAGAATTTCAAGCCTTATAAAATAAGCCTATCCATCTCGGCAACTTTTGTCTCGTTGACTATAAAATCATCCTGATGATCAGATGAAGAATCAGAAGGACAAAATTTAAGGTGAGGGGTGCGAGTGCAGGTGCAGTTAAGGGAGCATGCATTTGGAAAACGTAGCAGTACATAGAACCAAAAGGTGATGACTCGTTCAACACCAGAGTTTGTTGGATAGATAATTATCCTACGACAAATGGAAACAGATCATAGGAAGAAGGATTCGTAATCTTCTTTACATAAACGCGTGGAAGTTTTCACAAATCCAAACAAGCCTAAAATTTCTACAATTACACGGCAAATCTGTTCCCCTCTCGCTGTCTTGTGTAACATTTTCATTTAAGCCAGCTGCATATGCATATATGTATATATATGTGTGTGTGAGTGTGTGGTTCAAGCCAAAGCATGTATTGGTCATAACACAAAACAAAACACAGCAACGGCAACAACAGATTTGCAGTAAATGGAGGAATATCCAAAAGGTTTTCGCTTCTATCCAACAGAAGAAGAGTTAGTTTCATTCTATCTATGCAACAAGTTAGATGGCAATAGACCAGAAATGCAACTTGTTATCCCAGTCATCAATATTTACGATGTGGAACCATGGCAGCTTCCAGGTAAGAATCTCTTCCTGTTAAAAGCAAAAATAATCTGTAAAAGAATATATAGTTCATGTTGACATACAATGCTAAACCAGGTTATTAAACTATGTGATACGGATATGTTGCAGAGCTTTCTGGAGAGCTGTGTAAAGCAGATCCTGAGCAGTGGTTTTTCTTTACACCTAGACAAACTAGGCAAGCTCATGGAGGGAGAACCAGTAGAACCACAGATTCTGGGTACTGGAAGGCCACAGGGTCTCCTAGCTATGTCTACTCATCAGATAACCGGGTTATTGGAATGAAGAAATCCATGGTTTTCTACAAGGGGAAAGCTCCTTTTGGGAGAAAAACTAAGTGGAAGATGAATGAATATAGCGCCATTCAAATGGTAGCCAATCCATCTGCATCTGCTGCCACTCCTAAGGTGGTGCTCTTGGATTTTAAACCCATAAAATAACCTCTTCTATTTCTAATAATTATTTTCTAATTTACCATTTCTTCACTGTAGTTAAGGCATGAATTCAGTTTGTGCCGAGTCTATGTGGTATCGGGCAGCCTTCGAGCATTTGACAGACGCCCATTAGAAGCTGTGTCATGTGGAACACCACTTCAAGGTGATGGGCCTGCAACATCTCAAAGTGCTGCCATGATGATGGAGAGAACAGCCTCCTCAGGAACTTCAAATTTCAAAGGAGACCATTTTGATCTACCAGAGACCAGCGGAGATAACTGCATCTGGGGGATGGACGATCAGTCTGATCTCCTAGAGACCAGTGAAGCTGACCTTTGGAGGATGGTCAATGATCCAGAACAATCTTCATGGAAATGAAAACCACAAGAATTGCCCTTAGTGGCAACATATTTGCCAGTTAACAGCCCTTGAACTACAAAGTTTAGTAGGCTCCCTGTCTAGGACTAGCTAAGCAAAACCATTAGCTTAAACTAACCTCAATAAGTAGAAGATTAATCTTGTTCTCCCTTGTAAGGTGACAAAAGGCACTGGGAAATAAGCAAAGATATATCTAAGATGACCATTATTCTTTACATGAAAAGTAGGATCAATTTTTTTGTTGAAATTGAAGCTTGGAAAATAAATATTTCCGAAGGAAATCATGAGAATTATATTTGTAGGTATTCAGTTTTCAAGATTACCTCAGCTTATTTTATTTTCATCTGAAATTCAGAAGCTGGATTTTCAGAACCTGAAATAAAGTAAAATAGAATCATGCAAAATTCACTTAAATCAGATCAAAAAACAGCTTTGAAACACAGACTCCACAGATCGATATCTGCTTCCTACCACAAATTTTATTTTTTTTCCAATCTTATTACTACTAGGCTATTAGCTCATTAATAATTTGACAGAAACAATAAATTACTAACTTCACTGCATTTAATTCCATGCCAGCACCATTTGACACATTCTACAATTTACCCATGTTTACTTAACCAAATAATTTCTTTTATGCATACTCCAGTTAGCCATGGAAAATCCACCACTGGAATCTGAAACCAAATAATGGTTTGAACTAAATTTGAGCTAAGTAGACTCTGTTTGATTTGGGGGCTTTTGTGTTAGGTGAAATTAAAAGGTTAAAACTAAGAAAATCAAACACCTAAAATTAGCATGAAATCAAAATTTTAACAACCCATATGAAGCAGTTAAAGTACCTCCGAATTCCTCTCGCCGGTGCCGTCACCCGTAAAGCAGGAGAATCAGAGCAATGGAGAAAAAAAGGAGAAGAATGGAATGCGGCCGCTGCCTTCAGCAGAAGAGGAGAGGGACGTTGTAGTTTGACTTTTTGACTAAAAATTTGCTTTTATTTGCTGAAAATTTCGGCTTTCTGTGACCAGAAAACAAAAGCACACACGTGCAAGTAATTAATTTTGGGCTTAAGTAAATCGAAACTAAGTTTTGAGACTAAATTGAAAAGAAAGATAAAGTTTAGGGGCCTACTTTTAGTGTTATTCCTTCCCCGGCTAAATGTCAATTTTACTTCTAAATTTCTAATTTTGATTAAACTTTTATTGTTTCTGAGTTTTTTTTTTTAATTTGTATGTTAAGGATTTAGGTTAATAACACCTTTTTAATATTAATTGTCATTAAAAAATAAATGTTTCTGAGTTTTTTTTTTTAATTTGTATGTTAAGGATTTAGGTTAATAACAC